GTCGACCTGTGCGACAATAGGATCAGGATGGGGGAGGAGGGGCGGAGGAGCGGCAGGGTGCCCTCGCAAGCGAAAGCGGCATGCGGTGCTGCGTTGAAGCCCCTGGCGGCCCCAAGCAGCAAATACTGAAATCCCAGGAAGCACATGAGCGACGATCAGAAACAGGTCTTACACGAGATGGCGTAGCGACCTTACGCAGCAGCTTACGCGGGCAACCAAGGCGACACGCCACATTGGAAACGAGGGGGGGGCTCACGCGCGACCTTACGCGGGGAACTTACGCGAAACTGTCGGCGCAGACGACGCCGTTTTCTTCCTTTGCTCCCACGAGGTGGGAACGTTATCAAATCCCACCAGCCCTCTGGGCGTAGGTGGTTTAGGGAGTTTCCTCTTCCACCCCTCCTTCTTCCCCTTCGGGGAGGGGTTTACCCCTCCCCCTACCCCCTCCCCTGGACCTGGACAAAGGGTTCCCCGAGGTGTCGGAGCGTCCAAAACGGCCTCGGCGAGGAAGCCCAACTCATTGGTTCTACTAAGGTGTTGGCCCCATTTTGGCCTCTTGGGGGGGGGACGCGAATTGAAGCTCCCCTCTTGTTTGATCGATCTCCTCCAAGATGGCCCCAAGAAGCGCCCAGGGGGGCCCAAGAGGTCCCAAGATGGCCCCAAGATGGCCCCAAGAGGCCCCCAGGAGGCCCCCAGGAGGCTCCCAGGAGGACCCCAAAAGGATCCCAAGCGGCCCCAGGAGGCCCCCCCGAGGCACCCAAGACGCCGAAGAGCCCCCCACGACCGCCAAGAGACCCCCAAGACGTCCGAAGATGCCCAGAGATACCCCAAGAGGCTCCAAGAAGCATCCAAGAGACCTCTGGCCCTTTTGCTTGCTCTCCTCCTCCTCCTTCCTTCTCCTATCCCTTCTCATCCTCATCCTCCCCCTCCGCCTCCTCCTCCTCCTAATCCTATTCATCCTCCGTCTCCCTACTCCCTCATCCATCCATCCAATTTTCTGCTTCGCCTCCTCTCTCCTTCACACTGTTCGGCCGTCCCCCTCGTTGCTCCCGCACTTCCCTGATCACCTCTCAACTCGCCTGGACATCGTTTCTGGATGGGCTGGTGGGGATACCTTTTTGATTGGCGGCTCAAAGGACAGATCCAGCGAGCGGGAAGATACCGTCTGGGGCACAGAGCGAGATAATTGGCTGCAGAGGCGCATAGGCCGCTGTAGCGAGTGCGCATGCCAGGGACAAAATGACCCTCATTAAGGGCTGACGCTGGCGGCCCGACAGAAGGGAACGCAAGCACAGAACCAGGAGCGGACGGAAAGGAGCTGTCGGCTGGTGGGCATACCCGAAGCGTCTAGAATTATTCATCCTTGCTAACCCACGCTGCATCGACGCGATCGCAATCGACGCTGAACCGACACTCATTGACGCTAAATCTGCGCTCTATCATCGATTACCAAAAAGCTAGGGCCCGCTAGTGCACTCTAAAGAGGGAAACAGAGGGCACGCCAGGCTCCCATGATTTGCTACCGAATTACCGTACCATCGGTCCTCGAACTTTCCTGCGCGCCGCCCGACCACCGCTGCTTGCCCCAGAGCGAGCCCGCCCCCTGTCGATGGAGGAAAAGGGAAAGCCACTCGATCATTGAAGCAGGAAGGGGCCTAAAGTAGATTGGAACCTGGGCATTCGAGAAGTACCTTCGTTCAACGACCGATTGGTAATGGCGGAGATAGCTATCGAGTCATCGATCCTCGAACTTTGCTGCGCGCCGCCAGACCTCCGCTGCTCGCCCCAGGGCGAGTCCGCCCCCGCGCCCGCCAGGAGCGAACCCTCCGCGGGCGAGCTGCCCACGCCAGCCGCGACCGAAGCGGTCGCGTAGCGCAGCGCGGCGCCTCGCGAGCGGCGAACGTATCCACATCTTCGGTCGGGCGTTGCGTTCTGGGGGGGGCGATAAGTAAGGGTGGCGAAGACGCGGGCACCTTTCGTGCCCCTCTTGGGGCCCAGTGGACCCTTTAGGGCCTCTGCAAGGTACAGGAGGTGCACCTTCTTCACCCCCCATTGATCGCCTCCCATCACGCAACGCCCGAATATCCACGCCCTCACGGCCTGGACTCCGGGGCGCGATCCCGCGGATACGCGGTCGCACGGATCCGTTCCGCACGCGGCATCCGCGAAAACGCGCCCCGCATTCGCGGAGTCGCAGCCCAAGGGTCCAGCCCGCGAGGCCGCGGATGCGGATGTGTTTTTTCGCCCACGAGTACCCCTCGTCTGGGCGCTGCGGTTGAGGGCCGCCTCGCGCGCCTGGACCTCCGCGAGCTGCGAGCGGAGGCCGGAAATCAGCTCCTCATGGGAGGGGCGGAGGGCTGCGGCGGCCCCGCGCCGCGGTGGCGTGGGCCGTTGGCTCCCGACACCGAGCGGACCGTTCAGTCTTGAGCGATCGTGGCGCTCCGAAGGCACACGGGACACAGAAGGACGCACTATTATTAAGTATGCGCCCACCCCTCGAGGCGCACGTCTGCACCGCACATGTCTGTTACAAGCATCTTATGGTACAGCGTCCATTGTTTCCAGGCGGTATGGCCAGAGAGCGCACGCTCTCGAGCAGATTCCCCAAGCAGTGCTTGCACTTAGTGGCTCTTGCGTCTTTTCTGGAGAACTGTGCCTACCCGTCGGTGTGGGCGGCTATGTGGTCGCCGTCGCCGCCTCATCGCTCTGGGCCTGCCCGTCGGTCTGGCGGCTATGTGGTCGCCCCGTCCCCTGTCGCCGCCTGGGCCTTCGTTACATGGCAAGGCTTTGAGTTACTCTGCGTTGCATCATCTTAATGTGCATCGCATTCATTGCATTGATGTGCGATGCTTTGTGTTGTGTTGCGTTGCGTTGCACTATCTAGGTTGCAACACATTGTTTGCCCCTCCTGGACAGCACCGCACATATTGCAAGAACACACTGTTTGGGGCCCACGCTGGCTAACATACTTTATGTTTTATGTTTTTGGAGCGCGCGATTCGCCCTTGCTAGACCGACGCAGACGTAGTATAGGCATATCTGGGTGGTGCCGAGCTCAGCCTTGAGCGATCGCGGCTTCCCGATGGTCCGATGGCACAGATCCTTACGCCGCCCCAGACCCACACCGCGCGCCGGCCAGCGCGTCAAGACGTCTCCACAAGAAGCCCATCACAAACAAACAGCTATCTGAAATCCGCCCGTGCTCCGTGATCCAGGGTTGGGCATCTTGCTTCCTGGCTGCCGGTAGAGAGGCCCATGGCACTACGAGGCAAGCGGTCTCTTGTCATACGAGGCCGAAAGCAGAACAACGACAGAGGCATAAACTCACGACTCCGGGGGTTCAGCACCAACCCAACAACACCGGACGGACCTCCGAGTGTTTTCAGGCCACGTCGCTTTCCGCACTGGAAAGATGAGAACGCGCACCTTTTCTCCAGCGCGCCGGCGAGGGGGGGGGGAATCGATGGTCCACGACCTACACAAGGCGGGACACGCTGAAAGTAAGTTGACCATCGCGTGTGAGCTGTGAGTCCCACAGAAAGATGGACGTAACGGACGTAGCCGACTGCCGGCAGCAAATATGACGTGCGAGCAGACAAATGGAGCAGGAACAGCAATAAACGACACACACACACTGTTTTTCGTCGGCGGCTAGGCAGGCGTCTTCTGCGCTGGCAGATGAAGCGAACCCAATGGCCCAACGGGGCACCGTTGTAGCGTTCCATCGTGCAAGAGGGGGGGAAGGCGCAAACGCGGGCGGCCGCAGGGAGGGATGAAAACAGGGGGTGGAGAGGGCCGACACACACACACAGACACAGACACAAAAACCGACGACCCTGGCCAAACTCATCCGAGGCCAATGGGTTCGGTGCACGCGCACTCCTGGCTCAGCCAGGGAGGCGCGTGCACCGACCCTCAGCCCAAGACCGGCCAGGCAGGGATTGGTGCTACCTGAGATCCGACGTCACACAAAACTGCAACGTCGTAAAAACAACTCGACCGGAACCCGGGAACACATCTCTCAGGAACACTTTTCGCAACAACCATCCGTGAGGGTCCCGGGGCCCGAAACGAGGCAACAGCGCCCGTGGTGAACGACATGCGGCGCAGAAATCTCTGGGCCTGCGTGCAGCTGGCGCCACGCCTGTGGGCGGAAGAAACGGGTACGACGCCCAATAACAAATGTTGCTCAAAATGGCGGCCTCGTGTCTGTGTGCAGACATCGTCCGCGGCGACACCGACGGCGAGTGCTTCCCAAGAAGAACAGGACATGCTGTCGGTTGTCGTATCCATTCTTGCTGTACCCATTTCAATCGTACCGAACGCTGGTCCTCGAGCTCGCTGATCTTCTGCAGGTACCGCCTCTCCTTCTCGGCCGACAACCCGTTCGGCGACGGGGGCTCCGCCTCCTCTCGGGGACGGGCTGGTCCAGGCCAGCGCCCCACGCGACCCGGGTCAGCCAGGGCCGCCACGGCGCTATCTTCCGGGGGGGGGGCGTCAAGATGGGGTCGGGGCAGTGGAATTGGGAGGAGCTCGCTCTAAACGGTTCCTGGAAGATGGAACTGTGAGCATGCAACTGGGTTCGCTCCCATACCCCACCTCGGGACAACCCCCCACCACGTTCCCCCGAATCTTGGGCCGGCCACGAGGCAGCCCCCTCCCCCGCTCTGCGTGGCTCCCCTCGGCGCGGGCCGGCCAGGGGGCGATCATGAAGGCCATGGCCGACTGCCGTTGGCGCTGGCCGTCGAGCCTGTAGATGTCGGACGGCGCAGTCTGCTCAAGGCGCAGGTTGCTCGAGTCTGCTCAAGGGTCGGCCCGACCCCTATCCCAGGGTCCACAGCTGGCCAATTCTTGGAGCTGCGCTCAGGCGTGGCGACGACGAGCAAGCAGCGCCCATTAAACCTCCGTGACGACGTCGCCGCGCTCCTTGTCGACAGCCCCGACTCCTGCCCGGCCACTTCTTCGAGCTTCGCCCAGCCGCGGAGGCGACAAGCAAGCGCCTAACGCCCAAGGAATAGCCGTACCGACGTCGCCGTCGTCGTCAGCACCGACTCCTGCCTGGCCAGCTCTTCGAGCTGCGCCCTGCCGCGGCGACGACGAGCGAGCGCCCAAGCAACCTCCGAGGAAACGCCGCCGTCCTCCGTCCTCGTCGCCGTACCCGCCTCCTGCGCCGTCCCAGCGCCGCCCCCCCCCGCCCCCTCCGAATTCCTACGTCCAAGCTGGCTCCCGAGACACTCCTGGGCATCCCCAGAACGCTCCGGACGGGGCGCAGATGGGGGGGAGAGCATCCGAAAACGCTCCGAAGACAACCCAACGCAAGGCCCCCGAGGAAACGAGCGCGCGCCCCTGAAAACTCTTGACAAACCCGCGAACCGAACCCCGACCAAAACCCCCGACGTCATGATTCTTCACAACGTCGACCCCCAGAGGTCTCGATCCACTCCCCAGGGCGAACTTTTTATCCCGTCTCGTTTTTTGATGGACCCAGGGCCTGGAGAGGGCCCCCGGAGCCGAAAATAGCAAAGACAACTCCCCCTCTAAGTTTTTGTTCATGGTGCGGGGGGGGTCTGGGCCTCACAAGGCTCAGGCAGGACCCTGGCGCCCCGTCGGCGTCCTCCGCCGCCACCTCGGCGCTGGCCTCCTCGCGCACGGCCTCCTCCTGATGGGCTGTTCGTTCGAAACAACAGCGATCTCCAATTCCGTTCACAAGTTCGGCCACACTACGTTTTCGGCCACAACAGGGGACACGCTTTCGGCCACACATCTTTCTCGGTCACATACCTTTTCGTATGATAGGGGCCCGGCGCCATGATACCCCAGCATCGGTTATGGGGGTGGCGCGTCGCCGCGGCGGCCCCAGCGACACGCCATGCCATGCGACCGGACAGCGTGTCGCTCCGCTCCGTGGGACGGGACGCTCGGAAGGGCTCGGGACGTTGCAGCCGAAGGCTTGAGGACTGGGACACGGATAGCGCGTCGCGCCGGAGCGTGGTGGCCTGGAACCGGCGGAGCGACACGTTATCACCGATCCCGGGAGTTCCCGACCGTGGGCCCCAGGCTGGCCAGGGGTAAGCTACAACGCAATGGGCCGTGGACTCCTCCCAGCCCGCGCCGCCCTCGGGCTCGGCGCCGCCCCGCAGCTCCCGCAAGGCGTCGAGCAGGCTGCGCCGCTCCTCCGCGACGGGGCGACTGGGCGCGGCCGCTGTCGAGGCTCGAGGGGGGGGGGAGTTCCCTCTGGGATCAAGGCGTCGCAAGTTTGCCACAACGGGCGATCCTGCCTCGTCTCGGGCCCTGGGATCCTCACGGATCGGTCCGGCCTGAGAAATGCCACAGGAAGATGGGGTCCATGGCCCTGGCCGAATGTTGTAACGAGATTGCGATGTGCTCGCGACGTCGGATCTCGGGGAGGGTCGAGGATGGAAAATCCACATAAACAGAGAATTTCCGAGGTCCGCGCGGACTTCTCGGATCGGCGCTGGGGCCACCCTGGCTGCGCCTGTGGGGTCGCCCATGGCGAGCTCCGCGCGCCGAGAAGGAAGTCCAACGCCGATCCAAGAAATCCACGCGGACCTTCGAGGGTGCACGGGGCCGAGGCTTTCTGGCGTCTCCTAGAGGACCTTTCGGAGATGGGGCTTCTCGCCACCGCAGTGCCGCATCCCCAACTCAGAGACTTGGGGTCGTGAAGAAACCCAGAAGAGAACCGGGGGCCGAATTTCGTGGGGTTCCGTCGTCGTGGCCGTCGTCGCCATCGCCCATCGCCGTCGTCGTTTCCCGCGTCGTCGTCGCTGTCGCTGTTGCCGCTGGCGCCGACGTCTTCGCCGTCGCCGCCGCCATCGCCGCGGTCGTCGTCCTTCCCCGTCGTCGCCGTCATTGGGCACCGCTGGATATAGCAAGATCCGGCAACATCGGATCGCGAATTTGGTTCGGCCAAGGCGTGGTCACGGATAGGGCTGCGTCGGCTCGGAATCGCGATCGGACAGGACCGAACTGGTCGACATTGATATCGATACGGAACGATCGAATCGAAGTGGGCGCGGCTGGGAATGGGGCCCAACAAAGGGTTCGCAAACATCCGCAATGGAGTTTCGACCGCCATGCTGGCGTCTGTTTCCTCCGTTCTGGTGATCTCTTCTCCTCCTCCTCCTCCTCCTCCTCCTCCTCACTGGGGGTCGTAGAGATGCTCGAGCCTCTGGCGGCACGGGGAAGGACAGGGTGGAGGGAGGAGGGGGAAGGGAGGACGGAGAACGGGGCAGGAGAAGGGGGAGAGCAGGAGGAAAGGGGGAGACGGGGAGGAAGGCGGAGGAGGAGGAGGATCAGAGGAAGAGGGAGGAAAAGGAAGGGAGGGAGGGAGGGAGGAGGATATGAAAGAGAAGGCGTAGAAGGACGAGGAAGAGAAGGAGCGGGAGAGAGTTGGATTGGGAAAAGGGGGAGAGCGGACGCAGGAGAGATGGGGAGGGAGGCGAAGGGGGCTTGGACGAGACATGGAAGAAAGATGGAAGCAAGCAATAAAGGGGGAGATGGGGAGAAGGAGGTGGAGAAGGAGAGGAAGGTGCGACGGGGAGGAGAGAAGATGGGGGAGCAAGGAGGGATGATACAGAGCAGGACCTGGACGAAAACCCAATGCAGGAAGATGAACAATACGTATGAGGAAATGGATCCGGAACAGGAGTAACACCAGCAGGACGAGACCGAGGAGAAGAAAGAGAATCAGCGCGACGAGTAGAGTCAACCTCCGCCTCCTCATTCTCCGTCGCTCGTCCTCCTTGTCTCCTTCCCTCGCTCACTCCCCATATCCTCCTCGTCCGTCCTCTTCCTCCTCCTCCTCCTCCTCGTCCTCCCCCTTCCCTCTCCGCCCATCCTCCATCTCCAATCATCCCTCCCCAATCCCCCCCTCTTCGAACCATCAGCAAAGCCGAAGCTGACAGAGACCGACGGACTAAAGGCAGAACCGACGCATCGACCGACCGAACATTCAGACCGAATGCACCCAAATGCGAAACAGCCGACCGAAACGCGCAGTGGCCACCCTTGTGACCCTTGTTGTTCGGATGGGGGAATAGGACATCGGGTACGGACGTGCTGGCGACCACACGACTGAACGAAACACGGGGAGGATACCTCCAATGGCGCGGATTTTTCAACATATCTAAATGTGAGGCTGGCACGGAATCGAATGGGCAGCGCGGTTGCCAAATATCTGCCTAGGAGGAGGGAGGCGGGGAGGGATGGAAGGAGAGAGGAGAAGGAGGACGAGGATTGGGAGGAGGAACGCGAAGGAGAAGGACGGGCAAGAACGTGAGGTGTTACGAAATGCAACCCCTGATTGCTATATGCGGACAGATGCTGTCCTGGCCACGCGGCAAGTACCCGGACCACAGATGTTCGATACCTCTATGTAGGCACGAAAGGTGCGAGAGAGGAGGAGGAGGAAGAAGAGGAGGATCGTCCACTTCTGCTCATCACTTGCCAAACTACTGCCGACCGAGAAAGACGCAGGGAAACCATGTAGGGCGAATCGTTCAAGTCGCCTGACCGTCCGACGCGGCACATGGCTCACGACGGGCACCGTAACGCCCCTGCGAGCATCCTCATTGCAGCACGCAGCCTAAGAAAGATGAACTGTAGGAGCCACTGGAATCTGCTCCTACCGACCCTTACCCTTCCTAACCATTCCCCTTCCTTTGTGCCTCGGATGGCTCACTTTTCCACTCAATCGCATGGAGGAGGACCCGAATGGGATTCGAACGGCCTGGTCCTCTCGACACTGCGCATGCCGACTGGAACGGCGAAGTGGCCAACACCAAGCCCCAGGCCTCTCCTGGGCGAGACGGTCCAATATAGGTCCAAGAGGGGCCCAAACGGGCCCCAAGACGGCCCCAAGAGCGCCCAAGAGCGGGACAAGAGGGCCCCAGGACGGCACTTGTTACTCTCCGATGGGGGGCCCGAATTATGGACCCCCCCTCTTTTTTAGCGAAAGGGTCCAAGACGGACCAAGAGGCCCTTTCAGGCATCCCAAAAGAGCCCAAGAAGGCCCCGAGACCCCCCAAAAGAGCCCCAAGAGGGCTCCAAGAAGGCCCTAAGAGGACCTCAAGAGAGCCCCCAAAAAGAGCCCCATAAGGGCCCCAAGAGGGCCCCAAGAGAGCCCCAATATGGCTCCAAGTTTCGAAACGCACGCGAGTTAAATATACAGATCAGTGCAACAGCCATTACGAGTCATCGGAACACCCCTCACCCCTCATCGATGCACCATCGTAGCTTGCACCGATTCCCATCTTAAACTTCAATGCGAGAAGCTATTTGTGATCCTTGTTTTCCCGAAGACGGCTGCGCGACTGCATGCGTCCTGCCGCCCCTGATTCGCCAACTCCCCTGCTGATCGTTTCTGGATGGACTGGTGGGGGTACTTTTGATCGCGACCGCAGGCGGGCGCCCACGCGGCGTCAGGAAGTCGCGAAAAGAGCGCAAGCCGGTGCTGCATCAGGCGAGGCGAGGGAAAGGGCCACGATGGTGGCGATAACTAAAGAAACAGGGGAAGAAGGCGGAAGAGCGAGAACAAAGCGAGATCGAACAACAGAGGAAACCATAACAGTTGCTTATGCGGGGTGCCGGGTGCGCCGGGTGTGCCGGGTGTGCCGGGTGCGCTCGGCGCCGGGTGCGCCGGGTGTCCGGGGTGCACTCGGCGCCGGGTGCCCGGCCGCCGGGTGTGCCGGGTGTGCCGGGTGCGCTCGGCGCCGGGTGCGCCGGGTGTCCTGTGTGCGCTCGGCGCCGGGTGCTGGGCCGCCTGGCGCGCCGGGTGCGCCGGGTGCACTCGATCGGCGCCGGGTGCGCTCGGTGCCGGGTGCGCCGGGTGTCCCGGGTGCACTCGGCGCCGGGTGTCGGGCCGCCGGGTGTACCGGGTGCGCCGGGTGCACTCGGCGCCGGGTGCGCTCGGTGCGGAGGGTGCGCCACGCGCGTCGGGTTCGCTCGGCGCCGGGTGCGTTCGGTGCGCCGGGTGTTGTGCTGGGCGCGCCGGGTCTGCCACGAATCGTGAACGCCACGCCCGCAGAGCGCCTGTCTTTCAAATGTGCGCGTCCACTTGTGAACACAGACAATCTGTGAGGACTTACGTATACAGATGGGGACATGGGACGGGAAGATGCATGGCAATATCGCTCCACATCCTCCTCATTCTTACTCCTTATTTGTACATACTCCGGCTCTCCTCTCTGTCTGGCCGATGGCGGTTGCATCTGGGCTCTCCCATCCAGGCTGTGTGACATCAGTGCAAAATGCCCGTCTTTCCTCCCAACATGGCTTGTCTTGTCGTCGACGATGCGAGCTGCGAGGCAGGAATGGGACGCGGCGCGCATCGCGCGCGGACGTCAATCTGGGCCCTCCCATCCTGACTGTCAAAACTCAATACAAAATCCCCGCTTTTCCTTTCAACATGGCCTGTTTTGTCGTCGGCAATGCGAATTGCGGCCTCCTGAAGCCTCATGGAGCCCCCTGGAGCTTCCCACCACCTCCTGAGGCCTCCTGAAGCCTCCTGGGGCCTCCCGAAGCTTCCTGGGGCCTCTTGGGGCATCCTCGGTTCGTGCTGAAGTGCCAGCGCATCCGTTGAGACGGGCGACGACTTCCCCATCGGTACCCACCATGGCGGCTGCATCAGCTGTGGCACACCACCTTGGCGATTGATTTCGGTTACGAAGTGCGCCATCACTGATTCTTATGTTGTGGGAGGGCGGGTGGGAATCACGGTGGGAATGTGCATGCCGTGCTTGACTCGCTCGAACTGGCTAGCTGGATCGCCCATGTACTCCTGGTCCTGATCCTCCTCTCTTGCGTCCTGCGCGAAGCCAGCATGCCAGAGCTGCCCAGTACAGGTGCACCGAGGCCGTACGGCATAGATCGGGTACCAAAACTGCCAGAGAGCGCCCGCATCTAAGCGGTCGGGAACCAAAACTGCCGGAGAGCGCCCCGCATCCTGGCATCCCGACGGGCACCTGGCGCAGGCGTGGGCGGCTCGATTCACCCATGCTCTCATTCGACTACGCTCCATTCAGAATCTACCACTCTCCCGGTGCGCGGCTGGGGCGCGCCCGCGCCGGTGCTGCGCCGCGGCCTGCCGCGCCGGCGGGCGTCGGCGCTGTGCCGCTGGCCGTCGCCGCCGCATCGGCCCCTCCCGCGCGTCCTTTTTCGCACTGACAGTAGCGGCTGCCACTGCTTCTTTTCTCGCACGATCTGATCCCAACGTTGTGGCTGACGCTGCTGTCCTTGAAGTTCAAGTCCTGCGCTGTTGCAGCGGCCCGGCGTCGGCGGTCGCTACTGCTCGCCAGGGGGCGGAGGAGGGGAAGAACGAAGAGAGCAAGGAGGGGACGGGGGAGGACACCTCTTCTGGCGGAGGAGGAGGAGGAAGCCACCTTTGTGACCCCTGGGGGGCAAGTCCTTCTCCCGCCTCTTCTCGACCAACTGCAAGTCGATCCGCCGCTCCTGCCGCTGCCGGGCGCCCCGCGGCCCGGTCGCGGTCAGCCCCCCGCCACCTCCCTTGGGCCCCCAACGCCCAACGCCTCCAACTCCTCCAGCTCCTCCATCCTCCTTCCTCCCTGCTCCCTCCTCCTCCTCCTCCTCCTCCGTCCTCGAGCCACCTCCCTCCTCCTCTTCCTCCATTCCTTCTCCTTATGAATAGTTTCTCCTTGTCGCACCCCGAGGACAAGTGTTAGGGCGGGCATGGCGTTTCGCCTGAGACGCCCACACCATTTATCACTTATGATCCTGAACATTGTAAATCGGCAACAGTTTCACAGACGGAGGACGGGTCGTTTTCAAAATGTGGCTCTAGCCTTAGCGCCGCACACATTCGTTTTGAAACTGTGCAAGAGTTTCACGGATTGAAGGCGGATGGCTTTCAAAATGTGGCTCTCGCCTTAGCGCCGCGCACATTCGTTCTAACATTGTGCAAGGGTTTCACGGATTGAGGGCGGGTGGCTTTCAAAATGTGGTTTTCGCCTTAGCGCCGCGCACATTCGCTTTCAGCATGTGCCAAAACTACACGGAATGAGAGCGGGTGGCTTTCAATGTGGCTCTCGCCGTAACGCCGCGCACATTCGCTTTAAACATGTCCAAACGTTTCGCAGGCTCTCGCCTTCGCGCCGCGCACATTCGTTTTGAACACCTGCAAAGGTTTCACGGATTCCCATGATCAGCGTTTTGGAAGGACTCAGGATTATGAGGGTGCAACAATTACGTTGATTCGCCGTGTTGGGAATTCCCATAATGGCGTTCTGGCACGAATCGAGATGGTCAAGACGGAATAGTCAGGTTGATCCGTGGCGTTGGAATCCCGAGAACGATGTTTTGGCATACGTCAGGGTCTTCAAGCGGTTGTCTTCCAACGAGGCAGTTCCCTGTGGAAATGAACCGCTGTAGGAACCGCTGAACGGTTTATTCAACCATCGTTGATGACTCTTAGGTCGTCGTCGTCCTCCTCCTCCTCCTATTCCTTCTCCTCAGTCATATCCTCCTCCTCCTCCTTCTCCTCCATCTCTTACTTGTCCTCGTCCCTCCTCGAGTCTCCTCCCTCCTCTCCTTGCTCCTTCTGTCCCTGCTTCTGTTCCTCCCCCTCCCCTATCCTCGCCGCAATCGAGCCAAGCCTGTGCTGGAACGCGCTCTGACTAACCACCAGAATTTCGCGGCGGATTCATCCGTGGCGACACGACGTTCTCTCAGAGAATGACCCGACGTGCAATCAGAGCCCGACTCCTCTGGCGCTTGCTTCCCCGACGTGCCATCAGAGGAGGACCCCCCCGCCCCGAGACCTCCGATACTCGTCCAGAGCACACAAAAAATCGGACAGAACCCTGGACCCAAACTTTCTGCGGCATTGTTACAGCCCCCGACAGACCTGGGGGAACATGGTGATCAACAAATTGTTTGCGAGTGGCAGGTGCACCCGCCAACTTGACGGCGTGCTTCCGCCCGGACTGCGGTGCCGCGCGCGCGTGGACGTCGGCAGTGCACCGCATTTAGTGAATTTCCCACCTCTGCCAACGCACAATCTGGTGCAAGGCTTCTGACTGACAATTCCAGTCAGATCGATCTGTGAGGGTCCCGGAGCCCTGAGAACGAGGCAAAATCGCTCGTCGTGAGAAACGTGCGACGCCAGGATCTCAGGGGGGACGCCGACGACGCCGAGGACGACGATGACGTCTTTCGCGGCAGCCGTGCCGCCGCCCATCACAAACATCATCGTCAACATCACAATCACCATCACCAAAAACGTCATCACCATCACCTAACACGTCATCATCAAAAGCGCCATCATCACCAATTGCTGTGCTGCGGGCGATCCCTACAGAAACCTTCGACACTAATTCCCGAATATGGTACTGAGTTTCCCCCATTCGGCTTGACTTGGTTAAGAAGAATGGTGCCTTGCGGGGCAACTTTGCCCTTTCCCGGAGATTCCTCGGGTTCCTCGGGTTGCCCGTTGCCCCGAGGTTTCTCAGATTCCTCTGGCTCCTCGGAGCGATGCCAAGATACGACAAGCTACGCCAAGCAATGCGAATCAATGCCAAGCAACGCCAAGCAATGCAAAGCAATGCCAAGCAATGCCAAGCAATGCGAAGCAATGCGAAGCAACGCAAAGCAATGCGAAGCAATGCCAATCACTGCGAAGCAACGCCAAGCAATGCCAATGAATTGCAAACAATGCCAATACATCGCAAACAATGCTAAGCAATGCGAAGCAATGCAAAGTAATGCCAAGCAACGCCAAACAATGCCAAACACCATGCGATAGGAAACCCTCCCCTTTTCGCGCCTGGTTCATGTTACTGTGACCCGCCTGAGCGTGGCGCGCATGTTGCGTTTGACAAAAAAATTGTTACTCGGTCGCTGCTGCATTCGGAGCTGCTCTTTTCTGTTCCTATTTCCTGTGTTCCTTTGGACATCCCTACGTCGGCTCGCATGATGGCTTCGGTATGGCACTGTGTTAATGGATCGCTGCTCTACTCTACAACCTTCAACTATACCCTATTCCCCAATTAGGCTTGCCTAAGGGGTCCTTACTTGGTTCAGAAGAAAAGTGCCTCGCGGGGCCAGTTTGCCCGTTCCCCGGAGATTCCTCGGGTTGCTCGGGTTGCCCTGAGGTTTCTCGGGATCCTCGGAGCAATGCCAAGCAATGACAAGCCAGTGCGAAGCAATGCGAAGAAATGCGAAGCAATGCCAAGCATTGCCAAGTACTGCCAAGCAATGCCAAGCAATGCGAAGCAATTCCAAGCAATGCCAAGCAATGCCAAGTACTGCCAAGCAATGCCAATGAATCGCAAGCAATGCCAAGCAATGCCAAACAATGCCGAGCAATGCCCAGCAATGCGAAGCAATGCGAATCAACGCCAAGCAATGCCAAGCAATGCCAAGCAATGCGAAGCAATGCCAAGCAATGTAAAGCAACGCCAAACAATGCCAAGCAATGCCAAACACTGCGCCCGTGCAACAGAAAACTTCCGCATAATTTGGGTCGCGCAGGGTTCATTCAGTTATTCTATTCTGGTATACAATCAATCCATGTCATGTTCGAGTCTGTTCTGACGGGCACGTCACGTTTGAAACGTCGTCCAATCGGTCGTTGCTGCGCCTTCATGTTCTTGAGGCCAAACTGACCTCGGCATGCACGTCACGTTTGACAGGCCCCCCTGGAATCGGTCGCTGATGTCTTCTTGCCTGTTGGTTTTAGCCATGTTCGATTCTGGACTTTTCGAATAGCATGCATCCCGCTGTGTTCTGTTCTGTGCAGTTATAGGATGCTGTATTACGCTGCGTCCTGCTATGTTGTGTTTCGCTCAGCTCTCTTCTATAACCCCACTAGCCCTCTGGGCGTAGGTGGTCTAACGAGTTCGTTGTTCCCAACCATCCTGTGGTGGTGGGTCCTCGTTCTGAAGAGACAACGGGCCGCATCCACTCACTCCTCACTCACTCCTCCTGCCCACCTCCCTCCTCCCATTTCGCGTCCTCATCGGCATCGTCATTATAATCGACAGCACCGTCGTCATCATCGTCGCCATCGCATCATCAGCATCATCAGCATCATCATCATCATCATCAGCAGCATCAGCATCATCATAGTCATAGACATCAGCACCATTAGACCCATCATCACCAACAGCAGCATCATCATTGTCAGTATCATCATCAACATCATCATTACCATCACCATCACCATCACCGTCACCATCACCACAGTCATCAGCATCGCCATCATCACTAGCATCACCATCATCGTCACCATCATCGTCAGCATCAGCATCATCATCATCATCAGCAGCATCCGCAGCAGCAGCAACAACAGCATCGCCATCGTCAGCATCGTGCCTTTGCTCTCCGCATGTGCACCATTTCGGTACATCCCTCACACGGTTCGTGGCCCCATGGAGAGAACTCCACCGAAGGCCTCAGTGGCAGGTTCCGCATGCGGCCTCCCTCCCAGTTCGGCACACTCCTCAAACGTTTTGTGGCCACACAAGGAGCCTCACCGAAGGTCCGAGTGGCAGGTTCCGCATGGGACCCCCCGCGTAGTTCAGCGCACCCTCACACGCTTCGTGGCACCATGGGGGGATCCACCGATTGCCCCAGTGGCAGGGTCCGCATGCGAACCCCCGCGCATTTCAGCATAGCCTCTCACGTTTCGTGGCCCCATGGGGGGCTCCACCGAAGGTCCTAGTGGCAGCCTCCGCATGCGTCCCCCCGCCCATTTTGGCATTCCACTCACACTTTTCACTTTTCGTGGCCGCATGGGGGGCTCCACCGAAAGCCCCAGTGGCAGGATCCGCATGCGTCCCCTCGCCCTTTTCGGCATTCCCCCAACACGTTTGTGGCCCCATGAGGAGCTCCACCGGGTGCCCCAATGGCAAGGCCCACACACGGCTTCAGCCCCCCAAGTCGGCGCAACCTTCGCACGTTCTGTGGCCCCGCAAGGACTTCCACCCAAGGCCCTGGCGGGAGCGCCCGCATGCGGTTCCTCCAACAATTTCGGCGCATCTCTGACACGCTTCGTGGCACCATGGGCGGCTCCACCGAAAGTCCCAGCGGCAGCCTGTGCATGCGGTTCCACCACCAATTTCGGCGCAACCCTCGCACGTTCTCTGGCATCATAGAGAGCTCCACTGAAGGCCTCAATGGCACTGGCCGTAAGGCCTGCACCATGCTGTACTACTCAGCAACACTCGGTATAGCTATTTGATAGGCTAGTGGCTGTTATGGTCTGATATATTAGCTTGTGTGTCAGGCGTAGTCTCTCCTAGTCTGTTCTTCGCACAACAAGATGGGAGATGTTTACATTGCGCTCACAATTGCAATCGCGTTGACTGTTACAGTAGTCTGGCATTGCACTCCATTTCTGGTAATGTATTACATTTATGGTGTGTTACGATCTTCCTAGCAACACAATGATACCGCAATGCGTTACACGTATGGTGAGTAATGATGTTTGAGTTGTTGGCTAGCGCTTGTTGTGACATGGTACTGTCAGGCCTGGTCTGTTCCTCGGCCTCTCACTGTAAGATGTAGCATGTCATACGTTGGTGTACTATTCGTTGTTTGCCTGCTGGGTGATACGCGTATGTCGAACATCGCATCCTTGATCATATGATACGTGATGTGGTGGCATTCGTCTTCGATTGTGGTATGCTCAGTTGTATTGTAGCATGGTCGCTGCTGCAATTGAACAATAAGGTAGTAACTAGGGTGCGTGATGCCATGTCGCGTCTTGGTATAATGTGGTATGGCTGGATAAGTTGCATTATTATTTAGTGTAGTTACGGTATGTCATGTTATGTGATGGTATGATGTATTATGGCCTGGTCTTTCATGTGATGCTACGTAAAAATTGTGTAATGTGTTTCGGTGCGGCCTGGTATGATATGATTCCTGTACCGTGCCAACGTATGTTGTGGTCTCACACTAACGTTTGGCAATATTGTATTCGTTGACAATCGTCAATGCCAATAAAATTTGGTTTGTCATGATATGGTATAGTATACTCGGCTACGCACCGCTAAATTGATATAGTGATTGATGTATTACAATGCGTTGAGTTAATCTATGAGATGTCAGGTTATGACATGGTGTGCCATGATATGCCTGGCTGTGCTATAATGCGCTATGGTCTGCTGCGTTATGTCATGAACGGTCGTATAGTCTGCCAAATTGCGTCACAATCCGTTTCAATAAATGTACCGTGTGCTATGATATTAAATATCAGTTGCCATAAAAGGAAACAGTAGTATAACTCTTACATTATGGTGTTGTCATTCGTCGATGACGGGATGCAGAACACTCAGGGACCACCTGGATCCTGTAGGGGTCTGGCGACCGCTGTATGGTGTCGGCATTCGTCGGCGATGCGAGGCGGGACACTCAGGGCCACCGGGATCCTGTGGGGTCTGGCGACCTTTGTATGCAGGGTGGGCAGACGGGCATTCTCTGCCTGAAAAATCTAACAGCTCCGACCTGTCGGGTGGGGACCTAATCGCCCGTTGTGAGACCACTGCGACGCCAAGATCTCCGGGCTCTGCGTGGCGAGAGGTGCCCGGGGCCTCCTCCGCAGCCCGCGCTCCTCCAGCGTGAGCTCCAGCTCCTCGATCTGCTGCAGCGTGGCGCCCAGCTCCCTCGCAGTGGTCTCCCTCTCTGACAGCAGCCGCTGCCACTCGATGGAGCGGGCTCTCTCCGCCTGGGAGGGGCCCTGGGGGGGGAGGGCGGGGACCGAAACGACAAAGCACCTTTCCCGTGGTTTTGTCGTGCCATTTGTGTGTCATACTTCCAGCGCCGTTGTAATTCCAATTCCGTCCCCAACCGTTTGTTTTCAATTTCGTCGAGTCGCTAGATTTATAACAATTTACATCCTCAAGATCGAGAGTTCTGGTAAAGGTAATAATACCGGCCCTGCCGTTTCCAAGAACCACGAAGGCGGGAGAAAGCCTCGTGCCCCGCATCTTTGGGGGGCCTCGTCAGTCTGTGTTTCCGCCCTTTCACCCGCCCCTCCTCCGCCTTCTGCCGCTCCCCCTTCCCCTCTCCTCATACTTTTTACGTTTCTTCCTCCTACTCCTCCTCCTCCTCCACCTCGTCCTCCTCCTCCTCCTCCCACCATACATCAAAACACCACCACGATCACCGCCACCACTGCCTCCACCACCAAACATCATCAGGATCACGCCCATCAGCACCACACCACGACCGCTCAAGAGGCCTCTTACAGACGCCCAGAGGCTTCCCCAAATGGCGATGCCTCTCCTAGAAACCCCAGACAGAAGCAAACCGTGTTCTGCGAATCTTTGGGGGACCTCGCCCGTCCCCATTCGCGTTGTTGTCCGCGACGAGTCCAGGCCGAAATCTACGAATACATATCGTATCCGCGCAGAATTCGCGTCGGACGAAAAGAAAGCATAGCAACTTCCAGAATGGGCAGGGTCCCCCGAAATTGCGACAAACAGGAAGGGAGGCGGGGGGGTCGAGAAATCGCGCCAGAGGATGGGCTTCTCCTCCATCCTTGGCCTCTGGAGGCCACTTCCAGGGCCCGCAGGCCGTCAGAAACGACACGGGATGAGCATTCGGAGGCGACGACAAAGGCGAGTAGCCCAGGGGCGGGTATTACGTGTATTCGCGAGGGAGACTCGCCGAAGAAATGGACCATCGGCGCACCTGGATACACGCACTGCCAGCCCCATCCCTCTGGGCCATTCGCCACGATCATCGCCTCCGCAGTTCTCCCGGACAAGTGTCGTGCGCAAACCGTCGGAGGCCCAGGGGACGGATGAATGCGAGGGGAGGGCAAAACGGCGCCCCTCCTCGTTCTCCCCGCTACCCCTCTTCCCTCCCCTTTCCCCTTCTCCCTCCCCTTCCCTCCCCCCTCCTCTCTGATCCCCTTTGCCCTCCTCCCTCTCGTCCTCCTCGTCCTCGTCCTTCTCCTCCTCCGCCCGCACACCCCGACCTTGTCTGCTTCTCTGCCCTTCCTCCCTCCTCCTCCGACCTTTGTCCCTCTCCCCCTTCCCTCCTCATCCTTCTTACCTCTCCTCTTCCACCTCCTCCTCCTCCTCCTCCCCCTCCTCCTCCTCCTCCTCCTCCTCCTCCTCCTCCTCCTCCTCCTCCTCCCCCTCCTCCCCTTCCTCCTCCTCCTCCTCCTCCTCCAAGTCCGCATCCTCCCACTGACCATCAAATCACCACCACGAGCACCGCCTCCGCCTCCACTACCAAGCATCACCAGGATCACGCCCACCACCACCACCACCACGACCGCTCAAGAGCCCTCTCCCAGACGCGCAGAGAGGCTTCCCACCCGGCGGCCAGGAGGCCTGCAGCCGCAGGGGGCCCGTCCCCAGGCGACCCAAAACGAGGCCACCACCACAGCCCCCCCTCGATTCCCCTCGATCCTCCTCCTCCTCCTCCTCCTCCTCGATCCTCGATCCTCGATTCTCCTCCTCATCCTCCTCCTCCTCCTCCTCCTCCTCCTCCTCCTCGGTCCTCTGGGTCCTCTGCATCGTTGATCCGCCTCGATCCTCGACCGTCCGAACCCTCGCCCTCCGCGCAGGCGCCTCCGCCTCCGCCTGCGCCGCCGAGTCCGCCGCCACGGCCGCCGCCCGCTCCCGCTCAGCGGCCTCCTCCGCCTCCCTGGCCGCGGCCGCTGCCTGCGGCGCGGGGTGCCCCCGAGCGCCCCGCCAGGAGGCCGCCATGCAGACGGGCGTGATTGGATAGGACACGCGAGAGGACACAAAACCCTTCCGAGGGCCACGTTGCCACAGGAATGCAAGAGGCATGGGACGCGAGACACAGGACACGAGGGTACCCTTGCTTGGGCAGGGTCGACCTACTAATCCGGGCCGATTGTACTCGTCATCATCGTCATCGCATATCGCTCTCCATCTTTAGGATTCAAACGTCGCAATTCATCACGTCGGGAGATTGTGCCCCGCTTCGGGTCCCAGAGCCCCCATGGATCGATCCGGCTCGGACAACGCGGCAGAAACACGGGGTCCAGGGCTCCTGTCGATCATCTGTTTTGCTATGCCTGGTGGGGACACGCGAAGCGTCGATCAATTCGGAAGGTGTGCGTTTGGCTACAGCAAAACACAAAATACCAGCGGAAGGGAAACCTCTCAAAATCGTCGCCTTACGAGTCGCAGAGTTTTTGCTGCACCAGCAAGAAGCCACTCGCCGTTAGTTGCTTGCAACGCCACTGGCGGGCAAATCCTGCCCCCCCCCGGGAATGCAGGGCCACTGCTTAGGAGAACACTCTCCCAACAGAACGTGGCTCGTTTCCCTCCGCGGGCGGGGGGCAGAGAAGCGGAGTAGGAGGAAGGAGAAAAGAGGAAGAGAAGGGAAAGAGAGCAGACAGACAGACAGACACCATGCACAACATAGGTGCGTTGGCAGAAACTGTGAGACATACTAGACAATTGGGTGAAACGGCAAGCGTGCTAAGCATGGGAGGAGGAGGAGGAGGAGGAGGAGGAGGAGGAGGAAGAGGAGGAGGAGGAGGAGGAGAGCAAGATAACGGAAAAAACACTGCGCCGAAGATGGGCTGGCATCCCCCAAGAAACGTGGATCTCTCAGAGATGCTACAAGAAACGTGTCTGCAGTGTGACCCAAAACCCGGAAGCCTGCACAGGGTCTCAGAGTCCTGGGTGCACACATGCGTTTCGGTGGTGCTGGAATCATCCCGACGGCCCCCGAAGCCATAGTTTGGGGCCCAAGATAATATCGTGACTCTACTTTTCCCTCTCAGCAGGCCGCCCATTCCTGGCAAGGTCTCCACAAGCGTCGCCAAGGATCACGCTGCAAAAGCACTCAGGTTCTGATGGCAGCTCCTGACAACGCCATTGCGGCCACCACCCATGTTCCAGCAGGCAAGCACGAGGGCTTGTCTAAGTGTTTGCTCCATTGAGCTGCGCAAGGGATTCCAGGATTCCAGGATCGAGCGTTTGTTGTCGGCACTGCGCGGCAGCGCTGTTCATCCCAGCCTCACAGCGAGCGCAGTTTGTGGGACCATTTCTGCACGCTGCATGAGTAGCTAGAGTTCGAGCCTCTCGAGGCGCACGGGCCCAAGGCTCCAGTAAAAACACAACACGCAACAAGACCTCATAGGCCTCATGGGAAGTTGAGAACATCGGGGGTTTCATCCCGATCCGCCTCTTGTCCGCCTCCAGCTCCTGCTCCTTCTCCACCTGAATGTCTCCCCCTGCTCCTCCTGACTTCTCCTCCCCCGCCCTCCTGCTCCTGCTCCTCCCAAAACTTATCCTGCCCCTGCTCTTGATCCGTCTCCCTCTCGATTCCTCCTCCTTGCTCCTCCTGACTTCTCCTCCACCCCCGCCATCCTGCTCCTGCTCCTCCCCAAGTTCTGCTGCCCCTGTTTCTGTTCCTTCTCCCTCTCGATTCCTCCCCCCTGCTCCTCCTGGCTTCTCCTCCCCAAGCCCTCCTGCTCCTGCTCCTCCCTAACTTCTCCTGCCCCTGCTCCTGCTCCGTCTCCCTCTTGATGACCTCCCCCCTGCTCCTCCCGACTTCTCCTCCCCAAGCCCTCCTGCTCCTGCTCCTGACCCTGCTCCGACCTTCCCTCTCCTCCCCGCCCCTCTCCCTCCGCCCGCGCAGCGCCCGACGCGCGAGGAACGCCGCCCTGCGGCCCAGGCAGCGAGGGAGAGGAGAGAGATGAGGAGGAGAAGGAGGAGGAGGAGGAGGAGGAGGAGGAGGAGGAGGAGGAGGAGGAGAGGAGGAGGAGGAGGAGGAGGAGGAGAGAGGAGGAGGAGGAGGAGGAGGAGGAGGAGGAGGAGGGAGGAGGAGGAGGAGGAGGAGGAGGAGGAGCAGGAAGAGGAGGGGGAGGGGAGGAGGAGGGGGGAGGAGAGGAGGAGGAGGAGGGAGGGGAGGAGGAGGAGGAGGAGGAGGAGGAGGAGGAGGAGGAGGAGGGAGGAGGAGGAGGAGGAGGAGGAGGAGGAGGGAGGAGGAGGAGGAGGAGGAGGGAGGAGGAGGAGGAGAGGAGGAGGAGGAGGAGGAGAAAAGGAGGAGGAGGAGGAGGAGGAGGAGGAGGAGGAGGGGGGGAGGAGGAGGAGGAGGAGGAGGAGGAGGGGGGAGGAGGAGGAGGGGAGGAGGAGGAGGAAGAGGAGAGGAAGAAAGAGGAGGAGGAAGAGGAGGAGGAGGATAAGGGAGGAGGAGGAGGAGGAGGAGGAGGAGCAGGAGGGGGAGGGGGAGGAGGAGGAGGAGGAGGAGGAGGAGGAGGAGGGAGGAGGAGGGAGGAGGAGGTTGAGGGCGCTCCGAGGACGTGCGCGTCAGGGCGCGCGCGGCTCGGTTGCGGCGCGGACGCCGCGGGGGCCGCGGCCGAGGGGGCGGGAGGCCAGCGGCCTCAGGGCAGCCCAGCAGCCAACTCCGCCTCGGGCCCGCTGGCCACGTCCTCGGCCCGCAGCCGCTTGGCCCGAGGAGTGCTCTCGACTCGGGCCTCGATCACGTCCAGGTCGGGGCTGGGGCGCTTGCCGCTGGCCGCCTCTAGGAGCCAGCGAACCTTCTCGTCGAACGCCTTCAGCTTCTTGACAGGAGCCCCTGCCAAGGGGATGCCAGCACGACGGACTCCACCTCCGCGAGGAGGAACATCTGCCCGATCACCAGCAGGACAGGGGGAGCGGGGGCCCGACGCAGGCTCCCCACTCCTGGCGGACTCCGCCGCAACACCGACGTGACTGCCGCAATGTATCACAGGCTGCGGCCAACTGTCGGAGGATGTCGTTGGACCCGAGGAGGCCGCTCCCAGCGGGACTGGCCTCCGCGGCTCTGCCGAGCCGCCGTGCATCGCGAGGTGGTCGCCGGTGACGGAGGGGACATGCTCAGCGTCCAGGGCCACCAGCTCCATCGGCCTGGGCTGGCTCACCTGCCCTGAAGCGGCTGCAGCTCGAGCAGCGGCCGCTCGCGCGGCACGTCGGCGGGAAGCCTGCTTCTTGGGGCCGAGCAGGATGCCCTCTCCAGCGTGGGCAAACCGACGCCGTCCAGCGACCTTCGGCCAAAGTCCGCGGGCGATCCGCTGGAGGTAGTCTCGCCCAGTCCTCGAAGTGGCCGCAGGACAGCACGCGCGAAGGCCCCGCCCCAGCAAGCGGCCAGCTGCCGCCGCGAAGAACCCACACTTCAGGCAGAACCAGACGTCGAGGTTCTGGTGCAGCCGCATCACATGCGAGGGGTGAGGGCGGCCTCCGCCGATGTGCACGTCGTCATCAGCCAGCTTGAGCGTGTGGGCTCCATCTCGCTGCACCTCAGGGCACCGTGCCTCCAGCCACTGCGAACGGGATGATCGCGACGCTGAACACCTGCACCTCGAGCAGCTGCCGCGGCTGTCCAGCACGTGGGACGTGCCGAAAGCAGCGACAAGACTGGCTGCAGGGGGAGCACGCCTCCGCCTCCTGGCACGCCGCGCTGCAGGGGCCAGGCCGTTCTCCGCCTCGATGGCGTCGAGGGTGGCCCGCAGCAGCCTTCTCCTGACCAGCGTAGCCATGTGCTCCGTCTGGTGGACCCGAGCCCGCTCATGGGCAGCGACGCGCACAGCGTCCGCTGCTGCCCCAGCCAGGATGTCCGCGACCGCGTTGCCGATGACCAGCCATGGAGGGACCTGCAACTCGAAAACCTCGGACATCTCCAGATGCGAGTACACGTGCTCCACGACGAAGTCTGATCTGGGCCTGCTCCTGCTGCGAAAGGTCTGCGCGAGGAGGCTCCATAGGTCGCCGTCATCGCCGTGCGGCTGCAAATCAAAGCGCCTCCACCAGCCCTCGCAGACGGCTAGATTATCCGATATGTAAACCGCGGGGCCAAGTGAGCCTTGTGCGGCAAGCACGAGCGCCCGCAGCTCACCACGGTGGACGGTCTGCACGCTGCCGCTGAGGCCGCCCCACGCTGCCTGCTCGAGACCTCCGTCGACCAGATGGACACGAGCGACTGCGAGACCCACACGTCGAAGATGCGGGACTTGCCCCTCTGGTCCTCCGCTGGCATCGCCGAAGAGGACGAGCGGGGCCTCCTCGGTGCCCTGCCCCAGCGCCCCTGGGGCCAGCACGGCAGCCTGCTGGCCATCCAAGAGCGCCCAGAGGTCGTGGTCGCGGGGGGCGGCGACCTCAGTCCAGCAACGAGGGATGATGCCGCACAGCCAGAAGGCTGCGTGCGCCTCCTGGTCCACGGCCGCGCGGGGCAGGAGCTCGCTGCTGTCGTCGTAGGCGCGCGGCGGCCAGGCTCTTGGGCCCCCGCTGTCTTCGCCTGCCTGGCACATCCCCCTCTTGGGCGAGCACGGCACCGCGCTGCAGCTCTGCGCCTTGGTCTCGGGCGATGCCGCCCTCCTCGGGAGCTGGCGCGCGTCTGTCGGGATCGTCGCTCTCGGGGCTTACGCGTGCGACGTGCGCGTCCTGTTGCGACGGCGCAGGCTTGCTAGCACTGGCGTGGCCATTGCAGGAATCCCCGGTTGGGGCACAGGCGCTGGGACAGCGTGGGCGGCCGCCACGGCACGGGCGGGGCGGTGGCGACCAGCCTTTCCACGCGCAAGGCCGCCGCCTCCAGCGCCACACCCGGAGCCGCGGCCAGCAGCCAAGGAACTCCGGGTCACCAGCTGGGGCGTCGACGTGCTCGCCAACCGCCGGAGCTGCTACTGCCGCGTGGAATCGTGCAAGGGGCCGATGCATCCGGGAGACCTCCGGGCCTTTAGCACCACCCTCGCGCACAAACTGTACTACCACCCTGAGTGCATGTAGGGCGGCCTCGGGCCCTACGACAACGTCGCGGGCACCGATCAACTCGCAGACGCCCAGAAGAACGCTGTCCGTGACCTTTGCGACAGGCCTGGGAGACACACCCGCGAGCAGTTCGTCGAAGACGTCCGTAGCGCGAAAAGAGCACGGCAGCACGGCGCGAACGGAAGCGCGGCACTTTTGCAGGTAGCAGACGACGGCGGCCCGGGAGAGCTGCCCGAAACATTAGACGGAGACGCGGGGAACGGGCCCCAGGCAGACTTGCCTAATCTGTCTTGGTGGGACTCCGTGTCGCACGACAGCCTCGCCCAGGATGTGCCCACGGTGGTAAAGGTGCGGGACGGAACGGCACGGGCCATGGCGGCGCTGCGCGGCCGAGCAGCAAAGACACTGCTCAACGCTTACGGCGCCGACGACGCCACCGCACAGCACCGCGCCGAGAAGCTCTCCACTTTCTTCGTCCGCCTCATGCCCCACAGGAACCAGAAGCAGCGCGGTGGCAAGGCGATGAAAGGGTGGGGTCTCAACCAGGCGTTGATCAGCCGATTCCGGCTGGCTGAGCGCAAGGACTGGGCCGCTCTCTGGCGGGCGGCCCACTCTGGGGGCACGCGTTCGCCCGGGCGCAGCGGCGGGCGACCGACGCCAGAACAGGCCGCCAAGCAGACAGAGTCGCTGGTGAAGGAGGATCTGGTAAGCAAGGCGATGGCGGCAGCCGCGCGTCCGGCGACGCCAGCCCAGGGCAGCGGCGCCCACGCCACCTTACAGGGGCTTTTCCCCGCGGGCCCCCCCGCTGCCTGGAACGGGCCAGCGCAGCAGCCACTTGACGAGGACTTGCAGCGCGAGATGCTTGCCGATATCACAGGTCACGTCCGCCGAGCGCCCCGGCGGTCTGGCCCCGGGCCCAACGGCTCCCGCTTCGAACACTGCCGCACTCGTCTGCGACACACCTGCCCTCAAGGCGTGCGCCGGAGTCGTTGTCCTCTTCCTTTATGGACAGCTCAGCCCGGCCGCCATGGAAGCGAACCTCGGGGCGCGCCTCATAGCTCTTCGCAAACCCAACGGAGGTATCCGCCCAATCCCTTTGGCGGGGTGATGCGGCGCTTGGTGGGGCGAGCAGCTTGCACGGTGTTCGCGGACAACATCAAAGCGGGTTGCGGTCGATTCCAATGCGCCGTAAGCCGGCCAGCAGGCTGCGAACTCGCCCGCAATACTCTCGCTGCCCTCACGGAGGCAAGCCCGCGAGCAGTGATCCTGGCCTTCGACGCCACGAACGCCTTCAACACGGTCCCCCGGCAGCAAATTCTAGACAGCGTGGCAGCGCGAGCCCCAGACCGTTGCCCGACGGCAGCGGCTTGGCCACGGCGCGCATGTTCTGGAACGACACCGAAGACGCCGCGGCGGTTCAGGCGACGAGCGGGGTCGATCAAAGCTGCCCGTTGTCTCCAGCTTTTTTCGCTATCGCTATCGCTGGGGCCCTGGGCGAGATCCACGCCGCGCTGCAGAGGCTCTCGCCCGCTTGCAAGGCCTTCAGCTACCTGGACGACGTCATAGTTTTCACACCCCCAGAACACGCTGCGGCCGATCGTCGCTGAAACGCTCTTTCGCCACGGGCTGCAGGTCAACAGGGAGAAGACGCAGGCCTGGACAAAGGACGCCAGCGCGCCCCTCCCCCCCTCGCTGGCTGGGCTCCGGGTGCCGCATTTGAAGTGTTTGGGCAACGCGGCGCCTTGGCTGGATCAGGAGGACGAACGGGTCCGCGTCCACGCTGGCACGGACGGCGCCGCCGCGGTGGCCAAGGCAGTCAGGTTCACATGCCGACTGCGAGAGATGCGCACAGCGGGCCTCTCGGCAGGCGCAACCGTCACGCTTCTCCGCACGTGTGTTCAAGGCGCGGTGACGCACCACTTGCGGGCCAATCGCGAACTCTCTTGGGTGGACCAGTTCGACGGCGTGATCTTCGGTTACCTGGAAGAGCTCATCGGGGCCGCCTTGGGCCCCGAGCAGCGCGCGCAAACCACCGTGCGCCTGAACGACGGCGGCATCTCCCTGCCCTGAGCCCGGGCCACATCGTCCGCGGCGTACGCGGCGAGCTGGGGGCCCTGACCCTGAAGGATGTGGCTCTCGCCGCAGGATTCCCGAGCTGGGAAGACTTTCGGGCGCAATGCCCCTTGACGCACCAGGCCTTGCTGGAAGCTGATGCAGACCTCCGGGCCCAGGGGCCGGCGGTCTTGTTCTGCCCGCCGAAGAAGACGACCCGGCCATGCCAGACAAGCAGTTCCTGACCGCCCTGACGCTACGACTCCGATGCGGTGTCTGCCCACAAGGCGCCGTATGCCAACACCGGCGAGCCGACGGTACAGTTTGCGGCGTGCCCCTGGACCGGCGGCGATGGCACGGAAGGTGCTGCGAGGTGGGCCAGTCTCGCACAGCCTGGCACGACACAATGCGAGATTGGCATGCGAAGCAGCACACCCGCCTTACCAGTTACGCCGCGCCCACCGAGCAATCCGTCCCAACATGGGAGCGCATCAATCCCCGCACCTGGGTGCTCGAGGCTGCCAAGCTGGACATCGCTACCCGCGAGCCCACCACAGGTCGCGAAGGCTTCGTTGACTGAAACATTACCTGCGAATGCTCGACCTACGCCCCTCGCAAGCAAGCGTGCTCCAACAACGACGGCGTCGCTGCGGCGGCCGCGGTGCGGAAGAAGCGGAACCGGTATCCTCCGAGCGGGGGTGATCTCGCCCCCCTCGTCTTCGAGACGTTGGGGCGCCAATCGGACGAGGCCGAGGAATCCATCCGGGCGTACGGCCACTGCGTCGATGAGGCGGCCCGGGGCGAGGTGCTGGGCGGGCTATGGCGGCAGCTCTCTCGACAGCTTCAGCGCGGCAGCGCTGAGATGGTGTTGAGCGCCATAGGGCAGTGAGGCGCGACCACCACAAAGACCACCACGACCACCTCGGCCACCACGACTACCACGACCACCGCCGCCCTACCGACCACCCCGACATGCTCGACCGCCGCAGCTACCACCGCGACCACCACGACAACCACCACGACCACCACAACCACGGCAACCACCACGACCACCACGACCGCCACAGCAGCGGCAACCACCACGACACCCACCTCCGATGGTCGGTACCACCACGACGTCCACGACGCTACGACATCCGCACCCCGCCCCCCGCCTCTTCCCTTCCCTCCCCCGCCTCTTCCTTTGCCCCCGCCTGGCCGCCTTTGAATGTTGCCCCTGGCCTGCCCTGTCGTGTGCCGGTCTCCGATAGGCGACCGGCTGTGGTGTACAGGTGGCAGACTGAGTGGACCACCGCTCAGGGCAGCCCCCTGAGTGCTGGCGGGGGCGCCAGACCCGCGGCCAGCGTGGAGGCGGAGGAGGAGGAGGAAGGAAGAGGAGGAAGGAGGAGGAAGGAGAAGGAGGGGGCGGAGGAGGAAGGAGGAGGAGTGTTGTTATGTCTGAGCGGTTTGGGGGCAATCGTGATAGTAAGCCGCATCGTGATTTCGGAAACTTACTTGGCTGAGGGGTCAAAACTTGGAGGCCAGCTTGAAATATGCGCGTCCTCGATTTGTGTTTGTGGAACACGGCTTGTTTCAAACATTTGCCGCGCGCGCCTGTTTCAAATCGGCGTGCTAGGGGCCAGGGACACAATGTAAGTTACGACCCCTAGGGACGGCACATTGCCTGCTGCGCCCAAGCCCACCAGAAAAAGAAAACAAGAGAGGCTTTGCGGCAAAATCTCGATGATGCGCAGGCGCCCCGCGTTCACTGCGCACTGCTATGAGACACGGGTGATGCGGGTGCCCTTGCACGCGCGGCGCACCTCGTGGGCGTCGCGCACCTGGCTGGAGTCTGCACTGGTTCACGATGATGTTGTCGACGGCGGCCCCTGCCCATGCTGAGACTCGGGTGCTGCTTCTGTGCTGGGAGGGCGGGAGGGAGGCAAGCTCTGGCTCTTGCAAGTCGACGCTAGTGCACTCTAGAAGCGGCACTGCACAAGGGAATACGAGGCTCCCACGATTTGCCACCGAAAGGGAGGTGGCGGGGCGTGGATCCCGAAGGCGGGCGCGCGGGGGGAGAGCGGGGAGGGGGGCGGAGGAGCGGGGAGGGCGCGCAGAATGGAGCGCCAGGAGGGCGGCGGGGAAAGGGCGGGGAGGGGCGCCGGCGGCTGCGAGATGCCTCGAGCGGGGAAGGGGCTGGGCGGTGCAGGTGGATGGTCGGCACTGGCATCCCTCGAGCGGGGGCGGACGGCAGAGCCCGCACGGACTTGGCGGCGCTGGCCGTGCCTGAGCGGCCTCCTCCCTGGCCGCCTCGGCGGCCCTCTCCTCCTCGGCGGCCTCATGCGCCTCCAGTCGCAGCGTGTGCATCTCCTCCTCGGCCATGCGCGCTGCCTGCTGGCAAAAGGGCGCACCTCCACGCTACCCGCCTCAACCTCCGCGTCCGATCCATCGCCGTGGTGCTCGTCCTCCTCCTCGTATTCCTCCTCCTCCTCCGCCTCCGCCTCCTCCTCCACTCCGCTGCTACTGGACCTCCCGATCCTCCTGCTCCCCCACACCTCTGATCCTCCCCCTCCTGCTCCTCATCTTCCCCCTCCGCCTCCAGCTCTTCCACCTCACCATCCTCCTCCTCGTCTTCCTCCTCGGTCTCCTCCTCCTCCTCCTCCTCCTCCTCCTCCTCCTCTCCTCCTCCTCCTCCTCTTCTCCTCCTCCTCCTCCTCCTCCTCCTCCTCCCTCCTCCTGCTCCCTCTCCTCCTCCTCCTCCTCCTCCTCCTCCTCCTCCTCCTCCTCCTCCTCCTCCTCCTCCCCCATCCATGTCCTCCCCGCCGCTGTCTCCGCCCCGGATTCTCCTCCTCCTTCTCCTCCTCCTCCTCGTCATCCTTGGCCCCTCCTCTGCGCTGGCGGCGGAGCTGACGGCGGAGGCCAATAACGACAACCCTGGCCATGGGACGGCGCGCAGAAGGGGGCACAGCAATGGAGGCGGTCTTCTGAGAAGGCAGCTGCCTCCTCACAAGGGTGGACCATGTTCGGGGGTGTCCCGGGAGAGGGGCGTCCAAGAGGTGGGTTCGCAAATAATGGCCCGAGACACGTGCGCGAACCAAGGGGAAGGCCAACGGATGCAGTCAGATCAGAACGATGAAATCTGGCCATGATGTCCATCCCCCTTAATCACCCCCCCCTGGCCGCACACATTGGCATGGGAGCCCGGACGCTACTCTGAACAGGCACAACAACCCCACCAAAACTGCACATCAATTGGCGGTTCAAAGCTCAATTCACTCAACTACTCTGAAGGTAGGAGCCCACATGATAACATGGTTATATTGCCTCTTGCCTTCTCTTCAACGCCCTAGCGGAGGTCCTCCTCCCGTCCTCTACTTTGCATCCTTCTCCTCCTCCTCCTGATCCTCCTTCCCCTCCCAGTAGCTAGTTTTGCTCAATGCTCAGTGGGCGAAGGTAAATGAGCACACCGAATCCTGAGCAGCTTTGGCAACCTCCGTAACAAAAGACCGAGAGGATCCGGGGCGCAGCGCTAGCAACAACCACTAAGTCGGCCTCAGTCGGTAGCCTAGCGCGCTGAGGGCTTGTTGCCGCTATTTGTATTGTCTTGACGCAGGATGCAACAGTTTGGAGTGGGCAGGGGCAGTGTTCTGCTTCCGAAGTGGCACCCAGCTCAGCAGCGAAAAATATGATCAGGGAGGGTGCGGTCGGCCGTCCCCCTTGCGTCCCGAGGGCAGCGGCCGTGGTGCAAGTGGTGGTGCACCGCGCATCACGTTCGAGGCCAGCACCGATGCCGCCGACGCCGGCGCCGGCTACATCTCAGCCGCAACCCCGTCAGCTCCCGAGGAGACACCTGATCCAGTCGCGCTGGCCCATGCAAAAAACACGTTTTGGAACAAGTCGGGTTTCAACCAAAAGAAACAACGACGCTCTCGGTGCGCTCAAGCAGGCGAAGATGGAAACGATCCGTGGCAACAGCCTCACAAACGCAATCTGTCAACGGCCAAATCATCACCCTACGCTCTAAGATTGAAGGCTTCGAGGCGGACGTCGACAACATCGCCAAAACCACCACCTTCACAGCCGAGGAGCACAAGGCCAAAATCAAGCTCACGGACGCCAGGGTGGAGCTCCAATTGCCCGAGGCGCAGCGTACGATGGCGTCCTACGCAGCTATGCAGGAGGCGTGAGAAAACACTGGCATCAACGAAATGTTGTTCGCTGCGTTGCAGGCTGCCGCCAGGAGGAGTGGTTCAACCATCCCTCCAGGCCAAAATACTGGACCATGCCAACACATTTGACCAGATGAACAGCATGGAAAGACGATGGCAGACGAGGCGTCGACTGCGTCGATGGCTCCAGCGCCGCCAACTCCAGCACCGTCAGTTCCACAAACGTGGATGACAGTGGCCCAGGGACCGATGACAGGACAGATTGTGCAAGCAGCCGCCTAAAGCGGCCCCCCCTTAGGACAGCCTTGACGTGGGATGGAGCCCAGCCGAAACACTTCCTGCTGATCATAGAACAGCAGGCCGATATGATCGCAAGTATGTTGTCCATCATCGAGGAACTAGGTTCTATGCCCGCACAAACAGCAGGACCCCTAAGACACTAAGCTGGCAATGCGATCGATCAGACTGAATTAAGGTTTGCAAAGAGCACGGGCCCGAGCACCACGATCAGCTGCTCGAGGATGGGAACGACAGCGCCGCTGACCACGTCTTGCCCACCACGCAGGTCCCTCGATTGTAGAGCACGTGTTCCAGCAAAGCCTCGATTGCGAATCCCACTCCAACACACCATGAAACCGATCGTTTCTGGAATGGTCCTCTGCGACTTGAGCAACTACTACGAACGCGTCGACGTTGCGAAACAAGCTAAACAAGCTATCAAAAAGCGGTTTCCCTACCGCCCTCCTCAGGAGTATCCTCGTCGTTTACGCTGATCCTAGGTCTGTGGCCCTCCAGGATGTCCCTACGTACGTGGGTACAGCTGCGTCCACAACCCTCATTGTCAAGTGTCAATTACGAGCCACGCTTACATCGCAGAGCGGGGGGGAAATGGCATGCCACTCCTTGGCAAAAGACATTGAAAACATGTCTGGCGGCCGCGACCGTCGAGGCTACCTCCAAAACCGACCTGGAGGTGTGGTTCGGGGTCGGATAGACAACGAATTGCCCGCCCCCCCCCCTCTTGGGCGCAAGCGGCGACGCCCGCCTCGTGCATCTCCTTCCCGCGGCACCGCGCCTCCAAGGCCAGCTGCCGCTGCTCGCGCAGCTTCGCGCGCACGCGGGCAAGCTCCGCGAGCTCCTGCTGAGCCGTGTTCACCTTAGGGAGGGCAATCAAAAACAGCCTGAGAACGTTGGCTGGTGCGGGCCACAAACACCAAGTCGGTGGACAGTGGCAGTGCAAACTGTGTAAGAGCTGCGTGGTACAAACTATGCGACGGAAGCGATGTGGTGACGTATCCGTGGTCCAACCTATGCGGCGGAAGTCATGTGGCAGAAGCTATGCGGTGTAAGCTATGTGGCGCAAGCTATGTGGTGCAAAATGCGTCGTGCAAACTATGTGGGGTAAACAATGCGGTGTACGCAATGCAGTGTACGCTGTGGTGCAAGCTAGTGTGTACAATCTATGTGGTGGAAGCTGTGTGGTGTCAACAACGCGGTGTAAGCTGTGTCAAGCACGCTATGTGGTGCGATCTACTCGCACCCAGTGCAATATGTGAGGTGCGAGCTACCTGCAGCCAGGGCACAAAGCGCCCACGAGGCGAACACGGGAGGCAACGGACGGACAGCCAGTGCCAGCGCACCAGGTGCTAGCGGGCACCAGCCAGCTCACAAGGCACCCATGGGGCGCTCGCGCGCGGTGACGGGCAACGACTGAGCGACAACCCAGAACTGTGTGCCAAGTACTGAGGAACGAAGCAAGCACCCCAAAATGTATGCACTGCTTGGGGGACAACTCTAACAGACCCTCGAGGATTTCTTGGGTCGGCACTGGATCTCCCATGGCGGCGGATGCGGCGTTGCCCTCGTCGCCCCTGGCACACTCCTCGCGCCAAGGGAAGGAGACTCAGTGCAGATCCAGGACGTCCGCACGGACCTCTTAGAATCAGCGGTGGTTGCAACTTCTGCGTCGAATTGCATCCATGTGTCGCGCGACAAGAACAATACGTCTACGGGCGATTTGCACCGCGGCGGGCCCCAAGGACCCTCGAGCGAGCATCGGTCTGGCTCCAACATGCAGCAGAGAGGTGATCTATAGAAAAAGAGCGAGAGAGAGAGAGAGAAACACACAGAGCGAGAGAGAATGGGAGGGAGCAAGAGCAAGAGAGAGGGCTGGCAGCGCAAGCGAGGAAGAGAGCGAGAGAGAGGGAAAGGACGGTGGGCAGAGAGCATTGAAAGAGAGGAGGGGATGGTTGAACAGTGGAACATCTCATAGGCTGCGCCCCCGCTTGCGGAGGGATCGGGCATGCCGGGGAGAGCGGCAGGGCGACGCCGCGTGCCGCGCACCCCCGCAGGAGCGCCCGCCGAGCCACGCAGAGCACGCCTGGGGGAGCGGCCCCAGACGCGCCGGCCGCGGGCCGCCCGCGCGTCGTGCGCGGCCGCGGGAGACCGCCCCGGGCCCCCCCCCCCCTGGGGGTTCGTCTCCTCCGCGTCTCGGGTTCGGCGCCTGCGCGTCTGGGCCAAGTGGAGGCGCAGGGCAACGGGCGAAGAGAAGCGGCAGGGACGGCCGAGGCTTGGCAGCCTGCGGCTGCAAACAGCATAGCAGGCGAAGAGGCCAGATGGTGCGAGGCTATGCGCGCCAGTGGGGCGGCAGAGGGCGCAGGCCCGCAGGGGTAGCGGAAGCAATGCGAAGCAAGGAGGACATATTTGTTTGTCGTCGCGGCCACGCGCGCAGCGGCACGGCGGAGAACGGGTGGGCACAGATACACAAACACACACTCATACACACACACACACACACACACGCACACACACACACACACGCGCGCACACACACGCACGCACGCACGCACGCACGCACGCACGCACACACACACACACTCACACGCGTGCACACACAAACACGCACACACGCGCACACGCACAAACAACACAAACACAAACACGCACACACACACACACACAACCCGCGCGCACACACACGCACACACGCACACGCACACGCACACGCACACGCACATACAAACACGCGCACAGACACACGCGCACACACACACTTTTCGTCGTCGTGGCCCCGTGATCAGCGTCGAAGCACAAAGTCGGGCAACGAGACGCGCTCGGCCGGCTTAGGTCACGTGGCGTGGGGACTGGGATCCGCCCATACACATAAACGCACACAAACATGTTTGTTTACAATAACTTCTTCGGTGTCCTCTCGGTTGGCTCCGCCCCTGGATGGCTTGATCCAAATATTGTCTTGTTCACCGACGCCACGCCCGTCGCCTCCAGAAGGTGACCAGTCTATGCGCTCGCTTGGGCGGGGGGGGGGGGGGGGTCGGGTCTGGGCCCCGACAACTGTTCCAGGCCGAGGGCCATGTAAGCCTGTTCAACTGCCTCGCTTTGTAATCCCCATGTCTGCCCCTGCCCGCATACCCAGGCATATATATATATATACATATGTATATATATACATATATATATATGAGTATATGCATATATGTATATATATATATATATAGAAATATGTAGATGTATATGCACTTGCTGACGTGCTGTGCGTTCTGGCCAAATCAGCTCTGTCGGGCACGTATCCTGGGGGTCCTCGGGGCGGTTCCTGGCCAGGCCCAGGCGGGGGCGACGCCGTGGGGAAAAAACAGGGGGTCTCTTGGCCATGCTCCACACCCTGGAGCGGCCTGAAGACCCGATCCGCGAGCGGAGAAGAGGGCCGCGCCGAGAGCACGAACGAAGCAGGGAGGCGCAAGGCTGAGGTTTATGTTTGCAGCCGGATGTGAAGTCCTTTGTTTATGTGTTTGTGTGTTGCCTGCTCCTTTTCTTTCCCATGGTGGGCATGCCCAGGGGGGCTGACAGAGGGCGGAACCTGGCATGGCACACGGTATGCATGAAATCCTGACAAAAAAACATCCTGATCCTCTCCTTCAGGAGCCCCACCTGCGCCTGCAGGACCTTGATGTGACGCTCGCGCTCGTTCCGCTCCTTCCTCGCAGGATGACGAAAACTACACACCGACACCCATCCTGGCCAGGCCCGTCGTGGGCGTCGTATGCGCACTTCTGGTTTTGCCCAGAAGGCGTGTCCTGGTCCAAATTTGCACGGCCAGAATCGGTATACTTGCATAGCGTATACCCAGAGATCTGGCGGATTCATTATGTAAGTCCGTGTGGGCCCTAGAACTATCCACTCCTTCCAAATGCACCTACTTGCAACGCGGGTAAGTGATGGACCAAGAACCCGCAATGGGTGCCCAACTGCCAGGATCGACAAACCCGCTGGAACTGAACATGACCAATCCGCAAGAAGTCTCGGCTCGGTAGGCTCACGCCGCGAGTCCATCCAGGCCACCAGCGGTGCTCAACCGTGGGGGACAACAAGAAGTCGACAACGATACTCCTCAGACCTCTCCTGGGGTGCGTTCTGACCAGGACGTCACGGCGAATCCAGCCGTGTCGGCGGAGGCCTCCCAGGAAACCCAGACGGGCGAAAGCGCAGCAAGGGTGGCGGTATCAATACCCTTTCCTCCCCTGAGCTCAGCCGTGCAACGCCCGGGCTGGCGCCGCCCGCCGCGTGGACGCGGCGCGGAGCCTGCCGCAGTTCCTGAGATCCGACACCCCGAACCATTACAACATCGCAAACTCGAAATGCGCCCTGAACCTCGTCTTCCTGCGCTATTTTTCAAGCCAGATCGATCCGCGAGGGCCCCCGGGGGGCCGAGACGAGGCAACATCGCCCGCTGCAAGAACATCGCGACGCCAGGACCCCCTGCGCTTTTCGGGCCTCAGCTCGGTTCTCCAGCGGCCGCTCGGGACCATCCGGGCAGCCCCCGGAGCGCCCTGGGCGAGGCGCGGCCGCTGGAACGCACCCCGGGGCTGGAACACCACCGAGGACCGACGAGAACGCCGGAAGACCTCGAACCTCGAGAGATGGCAGGGAGGGACGGCGACGGCGTCGTGGGGTTGGCTCTCCCTGGTCCTCAGGTTGAGCCAGGCGTCGGTGCTCACGGTCACAGTGCTCGACGGTGGTGCGGCGGGCGGCCGGGCGACGGCCGTGTCCTGCGGCGGGGCGCGGGAAGAGGGAGGCTACTCGGCAGGCGGGCAGCACGTCCGCACCTGCGGCCTCGCGGTGCGGACTCGCCGTCCCTGTCGTCCTTCGAGGCTCGAGGCTTGCTGGCGTTTTCGGCGGTCCCCGGCGGCTCGCCAGCCTCGGGGTGCGTTTCAGCGGCTGCGCCTCGTCGAGAGCCCCGGATGGCCGCTGGAGAGCCGAGCTATGGCCCGAAAACCTGAGGGGGTGGGGGTCGACCCTGAGATTACGGCGGGCCTGTCCCCCTACAGGGGGACTTTCGACGAAAAATGAAAAATACTCAAAAAGTACTCCCAAATGTTGAAAAAATACCCCGAAAACAGTCCCCAGACTATTTTTTGACTATCCCTCCTGTAGGGGGACAGGCCCGACTGAACCCTAAGATCCTGGCGTCTCAGACTGTTCACAGCACGCGATCTTGCCTCGTTGCGGGCCCCCAGGGCCCTCACGGGTGGGCCTGGCTCGAAGAGTGCAACAGAAAGACGGGGGTCGGGGCTCGGGTCGTGAGTGGTCATGACGTTGCGATTTCCCGTGGCGTCGGCTATCAGGGTATCTACAATGTGATCTACGACCTCGCAGTCCGAACTCCTCTCAGCGGCACGCTGTCGGGGGACGTGGGAGAGCCCAGCCTTCCGAGACGGCGGCAGGACTCCTTAGATACGCTTCCAGGAACTCCCGACCCCTTCGCCAGGACATGCTTTCGTCCCGAGCCGCTCTGACGCTCCCGGAGCCCTGCGAGGGCCTCCAGGGGCCAGAGAAGACGAGAAGCCAACGCCTGGAATGCTTTTCAATGCCTTGGAGGCCTTCGCACCCCCCGGGGCGCGCCGCCGACCCTCGACGACGACCCCACGGATGCCGGGAATCGCTGCGCGGATGCCACGCGCGGAGCGTACCTCACGGGACCGCGCCCCGGTGCCCAGGCCGCCCGGGCACGGCTGTGGACTCCTGCACGGTGCGGACGTGCGCGTCGCTCGGCGGGCTCTGGCGCTTCGGGTGAGTCGGAGCAGTCGTCGGACGACGGCGACGAAGACGACGACGGCGGCCGCGGGGCACGTCGTCGGTCCCAGACATCCAGCGTCCCGAAAAGAAGGGACCGCATTCTTCTTTCGCTGTCGGCCTCTCGGGGCCCTTACCACACCTCGAGACCGATCAAAAATGACGCCGGATGAAAAACTGGTCCCAGGGACATGGTCGAGAGGTCGAGGGCCCGTGTCACGAGAAAGTCGAGACGCAACCCTCCCCTTCCCGAGCCCTTCCTGAACCCCCCACCTTCCCATTCGAAGTCCCACCCCCTGTCCCATCCTTCCCTCTGTGGTCGCCAGCCTTACATGTTCTCCCTTCCCTCCTCTCCTCTCGTCTCCTCGCCTCTCCTCTCCTCTTCCCTCCCTGCCCCATCCATCCACTCCCCCACTGTCATGCTTCCTAGCCCCTCAGAACCTCCGAGAGCCCCCTTACCACCTCCCGGAGCCTCCTCGCCCTCCTCCTCCGCCTCCTCCCTCGGAGCCGCATGCGAACATTGCCACTGGGACCTTCGGTAGAGTTCCCTATGGAGCAACGACGTATGTGAAGGGTGTGCCAAAATTTGCGGAGATTCGCATGGGGCATGACACGTGTGAAAGGTGTGCCGAAATCAAAAAGGAACCGCATGCGAACTTTTCCACCGGGAACTTCGGTGGAGCTCCCGATGGGGACACGAAGCGTCTGAGGAGCTTGCCGAAATGGGCGGGGAATCGCAGACGAAGTTTGCCGCTGGATACGTCGGTGGAGCTCCATATGTGGCCACGAAACGTGTGACGGGGTGTGCCGAAATGAGGGGGTGGCGGCATGCGGGCGCAACCATTGGGGCCGTAGGTGTAGCTCCCCATGGGGCCCCTAACCGTGTGAGGGGTGTGCCAAAGTGAATGGGGTGGCGGCATGCGGGCGCAGCCACTGGGGCCTAAGCTCCTTGTGGGGCCACGAAACGTTTGAGGGGTGTGCCGAAATGAAGGGGTGGCGTCATGCCTTCGGATCCACTGGGGTCTTGGGTGGAGCTCCATATGGGGCCACGAATCGTGTGAAAGGTGTGCCAACATGAGGGGATGGCTGCATGCGTGCGCAGCCACTGGGGCCTTAGGTGGAGCTCCTTGTGGGGCCACGAAACGTGTGAGGGGTGTGCCGAAGCAGACACGTGAAAGAAGAGTGGATATTCCGGCGAAGATGCTGATGATGGTGATGTTGATGATGTTGTTGATGATGATGACGAAGGTGATGATGGTGATGGTGATGGTGATGCTGATGCTGATGATGATGATGATGATGATGCTGATGATGATGATGATGATGATGATGCATACCGTAGCACCCCGCAATTGCGGATAACAATGAGGGGACGGGCGCGGGCGACGCGGGCGTCGAGCCGGAGGACCTCGTGCCCCCACCTTCCCTGTCGATGGCGCCCTCCTCCTCCTCCTCCTCCTCCTGCTCCTCCTCCTCCTCCTCCTTTTCCTCGTCCGCGTCCTCGTCCTCATCGTCGTCGTCGTCCGCCTCCTCCTCCACCTCCTCCACCTCCTCCATCTCCTCCACCTCCTCCTCCTCCTCCTCCTCTCCTCCTCCCCCTCCCCCTCTCCTCCTCCTCCTCCTCCTCCTCCTCCTCCTCCTCCTCCTCCTCCACACCCAGGGACAGTGAATGACCGTTCGGTCCAGCCCCCTCACTCTGATGATGCTGCTGCTGCTGATAATGATGACGGTGTTGCTGATGATGATGACGACGGCGACGAGGAGGACGACGATGATGCTGATGATGTTGATGCTGATGGTGATTATTACGATGATAATGATTGATGGCTGTACTGCTAAGAATACTGGGGAGGATGATGATGCAAATGGTGACGACGACAATGATGCTGATGAAGATGGTGGTGACGGTGATGGTGATGGTGATGATGGTGATGATGATTATGATGATGGTGATGATGATGATGATGTTGAGGATGATGAAGATGATGAGAGGATGAGGATGAGGCTGTGGATGAGGATGATGATGGCGATGATGAGGATGATGCTGCTGATGATGATGGTGCTGATGCTGCTGCTGCTTATGATGATGATGATGATGGTGGTGGTGGTGATGATGATGATGATGATGATGATGATGATGATGATGATGGTGATGGTGATGAGGATAAAGATGATGACGATGATAACGATGATGATGGCGATGAGGACATGCGGGTGGCAGAGGCAAGGGTGTGAGGACGGAGGAAGGGGAGGAGGAGAGGAAAGAAGGAAGGAAGGAAGGCAGGAAGGAGACGCAGGGCGCTGTCTGTTCAAAACGAAGACCCAGCTCCACAGGATGGTGGGGACACCAAAAAGCTCCCTCCCTCTCTGAGCTCCCGAGGAGGACGGCCCCTGGGATCCCCGAGAGAACCCAAGAAGTCCCCCGAGAACCTGGAGATCGCCTCTCAACGCCCTCGAGAGCCCTGGAGAACAATCCGGGAACCGCATAAAACCACCGAGGCCCTCCCGCGACAACGGCGACGACGACGACTGTGGCAATGGCGGTGGCGACGGCAAGAATCGTCCCCAGGATCTCTCCTAGGGTGCGCGCTGGCTAGAACTTCGAGGGAGGTATCCGGCCGTGGCGACGAGAAGCCACCTGGAGACCCAGAGAGGGCGAGAGACGCCACAAAACCGTCGATCCACGATCGACGAACCTCGAACCTCAACGACGACGACGACAAAGACAAAGACAGTAACGGTGGCGGCGGCGACGACGACGACGAAAAACAAGACGAGGATGTTGACGACCCCTGAAATCCTGCCCTCCTCACTAGGGGCAGCGAGCTTCGCCCCGGAGCCGCATTCTGAACGCCCCAAGGGCCCAAGGACGGCCCCGAAGGAGGCCGAACCGACGGAGCGATCGGTCGATCGATCGACCGCGGGATCCTCCGCGCCCTGCGGCGCCCCCGCCTCCGCGGGGCCCCTCGGCGTGCTTGCCGACGACGAGGCCGGGGCCTGGCGGCGCCGGCGGCGGCGGTGGTGGCGACAGCGGCGATTGCGACGACGATGCTCTCCTGTCTCGGCTCCCGGGGCCCGTTTCGGGCCGCAGGAGCGTCGGGCATCCACCCTGGGTGGAGGTCTGGCCGGGGTGGACCCCACGCAGGGGCCTGAGGCCCGAGTTTGAGGGGACGGAGAGGGGGAGAGCAGGACGACGACGACGACAACGACGGCGATGAGCCACCCGACAGCGACGGCGACGACGGCGACGACGACGACGGCGACGACGCCACCATCGACGGCGGTGGCGGTCCTGGGGGCCACGGCAGGAGGGAAGGAGGAACCAGAGAGATGAGGGGAAGGAGGAGGAGGGGGAGGAGGAGTATGAAAAGGAGGAGGAGGATGCTGAGCTGATGGTGATTATGATGCTGCTGCTGCTGATGACGATGATGATGATGGTTACAATTATGATGATGACGACGACGATGACGATGATGATGCTGATGATGCTGCTGCTGATGATGGTGATGATGATACTGATGATGAGGATGAGGATGATAATGCTGACGATGATGGTGACGCTGAGAGTTTTGGTGACGGTGGTGATGATAATGCGGCTGAGGATGAGTATGGTGATGATGATGCTGTTGCTGATGATGACAACGATGGGGATGAGGGTGGTAATACTGATGAGAATGATACGGATCATGATGGTGATGATGATGCTGTTGACGATGATGATGATCATGATGATGATGGTGATGATGAAAATGATGACGATGATGATGACGATGACGACGATGATGATGCTGATGATGGTGGTGATGATGGTGGTGATGATGGTGATGATGAGCATGATGACGATAATGCTGACGATGGCGGTGACGGTGGTGATGATGATGCGGATGAGGACGAGTATGGTGATGATGATGGTGATGATGATAAAGATGAGGATGAGGATGAGGGTGATGATGTTGACGATACGCATCATGATGGTGATGATGCTGTTGACGATGATGATGATGGTGGTGATGATGACGATGATGATGGTTGTGATGATGGTGATGACGATGAGGATGATGATTCTTATGATGATGATGACGATGACGATGGTCATGCTGATCGATAGTGATGGGGATGATGGTAAGGAGTATGTCATGACGATGATTGTGATGGTGATGGTGATGATGATGCGGATGATGATGATGCAGATGATAATGATGATGACGATGCTGATGATGATAACGAGTATGGTGGTTGTGATGATAAGGATGATGATAAATATGTTGGTGACGGCGGTGTCGATTAATAACGACGATGGTGGTGATGATGATGCTGTGGATGATGATGCTGCTGCCTATGGAGTTGATGATGATGAGGGGTGCTAAATGATGATGAGGCTGCTGATGGTGCCGACGATACTGATAAGGAGGCCGATGATACTGATGTGGATGATGAAGACGTTATGAGACTGATTAGGATGATGATGATGAGGATAATGGTGAGGATGGCCATGGTGCTGATGAGAAGGAGAGGAGACGTGGCGCTTCCCGCCGCGCGGAGCGCAGCACGAAGCTTGTCGTTCGCGCTCTCGCGGCGCCCTCCTGGAGAAGATCGGGACAACGCCTCTCCAGCGCAGGCCGCGATGTGCCAGACGCGACTATCTTCGTGTGGCCCATCTAAGATGGCTGCCATGCCGACGGCGACGAATCACGATCTTGATGATGGTTTTGATGGGCGCGGGAGCAGCCTATCGGCTCATTTTGCGGTTCGTCGGCTCGCGCGTGGGGCGGCGATTCGAAAGACGTCAGGTTTCGCAGGGTCGGCATCAGGCTCGTGCAGACGCAGAGCGAGGGTACGATCCCCATCGGTGCCACCATGTTGGGCGGGCTTCCTGGTCCATCCAAGGCGGTACCCCATGGTGAACTCTACTGTCTTTGCCTCGCGCTAAGAATCACCACACCCAATCATGTTTTGCACGCCGCCGACCAATCAGGCCGTCTACGGCGGTCAGTACGCCCAGCGGGTCATCTCTCCCAGTGGCGAGCACGCTGAATTGTTGGGCAAGGTCGGTGCTCGAATTCGCAAGGGCGTCCACCATACTCCGCCGACCCTGTCAACGTGTGTGAGGGGCTTTTCCGTTCGGGTCGGGCTTTTCCGTTGGAGTCGTCGTCTCCGTTCTCCTCTGTTCCATTTGCCTGGGGCCCAGGAAAACGGCCCAGTGGGCCCTCTTCCTCATACGCGTCGTCCAAAGCAACATTGAACAACATAGGAGTCGAATCGAAGGGAAACCCCTTTCTTTTGATCCCTTCCCCGCCCCCAAGGGGGGAGGGGGGCGTTCCAGGGCGGTCGGGGGGGGGGTGCACCCAAATACGCAATACCCCCGCTCCCGGCGGGTCCCTGGCATGATCGCCAGCGGGGGTCCTTGGGGAGGTCCCGTCTTCAGGGTCGGCGGCACCGGCCGTGAGACCTTCGCAGTATTAGATCATAGTGTAGTTATATTCGCAAGTTCGCATCTTGCAACTCAGGAGACAAACAACGGTCATGCCTCTAATGGTTTGCCAGAGGCAGCGCTGCAGCTGCTACTTTTACGAGGAGAGCGGCGGCGGCGAAGAGGATTAGGCCGAGAAGCAGAAGGAGGGAGGGGGAGGAGGAGCAGGTCAAAGGGGGGAGCAGAGAGGAGGGAGGAGGAAGGGGAATAAGGGGGGAGGAAGGAAGGGTAGGAGGGAGGAGGGGAGAGGGAGGAGGGAGGGAGGATGCGAAGGAAGGGAGGGCTCCCTCCAGGACCCTGCCCCCGAAGAGGCTCCCCTTGCGTCTCGCCTCCTCCCCCCCCGCCCTCCGACTCTCCAACTGGGGCCCCCACAACCTTCAGACGCCGTGCCTGTTTCAAGACGTTGGCATCCAAAGCTCTCGGCTTCACCTCCACGGGCAGGGCCTGCCGCTATTAGAGCAACAAAGCAAATGATAAACATAGACTGTCGGAGCTCCGCGCGGGTTCCTAGGATCAGCGCTGAACCCCCTCCGCAGCGCGCGGAACGCGCCGGGAGCGCCCGAGTCGCCGCCAGAGGGGCCCAGGCGGCGATCAGAGAAATCAGCGCGGAGCTCCGACAATTCATTATTATGAATTGTTCCCCCACCCGGCAGGTTGGGGCTGTTAGATTTCAAGAACAGGCCCCCTGACCAACCCCACCCTGCATACCGCGGCTGCCATACCCCAAGTTGTCCCTATGGTCCCCGAGAGTTGTCCCGCCTCGCGCCCTCGACGAACACGCCTTAGTACAACATGGCAGAACAGAGCATGACAGAACGGAACAGAGCATAACATAACATGGCAAGCAGAACGTATCAAAATCATGACACCATAGAGCAAAACATATCATTACATAGCATACAAAAGTAGAACAATGCATACCATAAAACGACATAACACAACAAGGCAGAACATAGCCGAACAGATCATGCCACACACATTTACTTGCACGACACTTCATAGCACGGCGCAACATCACATAACAGATGGTAACGCAACAACAAAGCATAACGACAACGAATACGGATCACACAACATATCACACCACAGCATGGAATACCATAAAACTACCATGACATAGCACCATACCAAATTCATACTAAAACATAGCAAACTACTACATGACATAACACACCATAGCATAGCATGGCATAGCTGAAGACGATAGAACACAACATAACATACCATAACATAACCGAGCATACCATAGCACACCTTGGAGCGCGTTTCTTTATGTTTGGCGATGACGGGCGTCATGGAGGGGGGGAGACGAAGGGGGGGTATGACGTAACGCCCCCACCGCCGTGTGGCTCCGGCACCGCAGCCGCGCCCGCGCGCGCGCGACGCGACGAGCGACGTGCGACGACGACGACGACGACGACACGAGCAGCATGTAGGTGGCGATATGCCCCACTGCGCTTGTGTACACCACAGCGCTCGCGTGCACCACAGCGCGCGCGTGTATACCACAACGCCTGCGTACACCGCGACAACCGTGTGCAACGCAGTGCCTGTGTACACCACAGTGCTTGCGTACACTACAGCAGCGCGGGGGTACACGTGTACACCGCAGCTACCATGTGCAACACAGCGCCTGCGTACACCACAAAAGTTCGCGTGCACCGCAGCGCCTGCGCACGCCACAGAGCGCGTCTACACCACAGAATCCGCGTGCAACGCAGCGCTGGTGTACACCATGATGCCTGCGTGCGTAGGACAGGTAAAATGAGCATGCACGTGAGGATATGCTGCCGACAACCAGACGCCACGCCAGGAAAATGCTGATAATCGAAAGCGGCGTTTTTCCCTTCCTCCCTTCTCCTCCACCTCCACCACCTTTTCCTCCTTCTGCTCCTCCTCCTCCTCCTCCTTACCCCCTGTCGTGCGGTATGGCGCTACAACTCACGTGCGCATCTCAACGCGCACCGCAAAATGGTTAGATGAATCGGTCCACCTGGTTCTCGGACGGCCAATTTAGCTTGAGCCTCCTGGACGCAGATGGGACGAGTTAGGGTGATGCGGGCGGATATGGGAGGATTCGTAGATTCCAGCGGCGCTCCGCTGCCCATAATGACTATTTTCCATGGTTTTTACCTAACAGCGAACACTGATAGGTTTCCAGTGGTGTCAACAGAGAATATCTGATGACTCAGAAGGGAGGTCTGGGCGGCATCCGGACAGCGAGGGCCGGGCTCAGGACCGGGCTCGTTTGAACCAAACAGTCGCACACTTCGTGCTCTTCGACCTCCAAAAACTCAATTCCCGGGCCACATTTTGAATGCCCAAAGCCAACTGTAGGCCACTTCGTGCTCTTCGACTTCCCGTAAGCCACATCGTGCTCTTCGACTTCCCAGAACTCCACTCCCGGGCCACATTTTGGATGCTCGGAGCCAACTGTAGGCCACTTCGTGCTCTTGGACTTCCCAGAACACCATTCTTGGGCGACATTATGGATGCTCGGAGCCAACTGTAGGCCACTTCGTGTTTT